AGGGAGCTGCGCTGTGGGGCTGGCAGAAGGGGAGCAGCTCTGGTCCTGCATCAAGGAGCCGCACCTCAACGCCAGACGGCCACCTTCCTTCCCCCAGGCGCTGGGGACAGGCTGCGTGGAGAGAGCAATTGATTTAATTCCACTGCAGAGCAGCCAGCTTAGCCCCTCCTGGCATTCACCAGCACAGGACACAGCATGGGCTCGCTCCAGGGGAGCACAGGACAGGGCAGGGCAGGGCAAAAAAAAAAAGCAAGGAAAAGAAAAAAAAAAAAAAAGCAGAAAAGGCAGCACACAGGGCCAGCGCAGCCCAACCCACCCCCAGCACGTTTCCACTGGTCCCAGCTATTCAGTCCACTACAGTCAGAGGGATTAAGGCACGTGTATTTCTGTATTAACATGCTCAGTACAAACGCCAACGACTTTCCTCTAGCTGTACCCAAGCTCCTTTCCCGAGCACAGGTGCACACCAGACACAGGGGAAGCCCCGAGGAAGCCGGTTGGTGTTTTCCAGTTCAAACATGGGACAGGCAGTCCTCAACTGTGCTCCCATGGAGGTGGACAGCAGCAATCATGCCTGTCACCACATCGTTGGAAGACACCAATAATTTATTGAAATAAATACAGGTAACAGACCAGACAGCCTCTGGGTTCAAACACTACACGTACGTCGGGTACAATTTCTCTACGCTCTTGGGAAAAGCATGGTGATACACTGATTTATTTATTTTTTTTGGCCATGTGAGCCTTTGCCAAGTCCGGAGCAGCCAGATGTGTGCTGGAGATCGGAGGTGGAGGCTCCCAACTTGTCACGTATTGGGCTTTGCTGTAGGAAGGAGTTCCAGTTTGAATAGGATTTCTTTCTTTCTTTGTAAGAGTGAATATATATTTTTTAAAAAAAAATTTTAACCAAAAAAGGTTAAACCCCAAGTCCACGTTGGCAAGCTGCAAGGTGAAGGGGGAGCTCTGTTTGGACGAGGCCCTTCAGAAGCGAAGGCTGCTCTCGCAGAGCAACCCCGGCAAACCCAGGACTGACCAGGGAAAGCGAGCCCAGCTCTCCGGCCAGAGAGCCACCGTGTCCACGCCGGGACCGGCTGGGGCCCGCCTCCACACAAGC